AACAAACTCTTTGACATCTCTGAGTCTCATTTTTCTTGCTTTAAAATGGCAATAATTTCTGAAAAGATGAAAAATAAAAATAAACAAATAAGTAAAATATCAAGACTTAACCTCACATCCTTACTGTGAGAATTAAAAGATGAATGATCTAATCCAAAAGCATGTTTAGCACAGGCTAGCTCTTGCTAGGCACTCCACTACAGGTTGGCTGTTAGTGCTTGTGTCACTGTGTTGTTGGCAAGATGTCATGTTTTCAGGACTTCCCTCACATGGTGGTAAAAAGGTGGGAGTCAGGGTGCTGGGTTGCACTTGTCTGAAGCTGCAGAGTGGGGGCTGGAGAAGACCAACTTGAGGGGGTCATCTTATGGGAAGCTGGACCTCAGACTAGGTAGCAGGTCTCATTAGTGGCCAATTTCCAATGAGTAGTCAACCTTGATGGGCTGGGCAGAAATCCTCCTTCTCTACAGGAAATCTGGTAGGAAGTTGTAGAAGAGAATCCAGATGAGGCAAGAGTTGAGTCAGGGCAGGAGGCAGAGCCTTGGGCCATTCTCTAAGCCAAAGAGGCAGCCTCATTGTCCATGCTGGAGTCTACTGGCACACTAAAGAGCACCCCTGAATGTGCCAGAAACTTTGTAATTTCCAGAGTCTTCCCCTGTCTGTGTCCACTTTCCTTGTTACCTAGAACTGCTCCAGGCTCTTCTGTATGACTTGGTCAAGGTGTGATCCATGCCTGTCTGCAGAGGACCCTGAGTCTCAGAGATCAGCAGTAGGTAAGAGCTCTGCTACCTGAGAACACCCCAAATGAGAGAGAGAGCTTTGTGAAGAGCTGTCTGTAGCATTTGGGGAAGGAAAAAGTCCCCAGTAAATTGTATTTGCCAGGGATCTCTAGGACCTCTGCTCTATTAGGGCTTAGCATGCCCGAGAGATTTCAGCCAACACTGGACAGACATCTGCACTCCCTTAGCTTCAGGCCTAGGAAAGTCAATCCTCTGTCAGCACTGGGAATTGTCCTTACCTACACTGCCCCTCTGGCTGGATTTCTGCCCTCAAAACATTTAATAGTCTCAGTGTGGAGAATGCTCTAATTGAAAACAAATCATCACCTGAGGAAAAAATGGACAACTCTTGCATTTCCTCCTTATGTGTGGCTCATGAATCAGTTCTGACTCATCTTCAGTTCTTCCTTTACCTATGCCTCACACATTTATTGGATGCCACTGTTTGCCAAGCACAGTTTTAGGCACTGGGTAGAAGGTAAAGGAGATGTTTTCCTGGTCCTTTAGCTGTGTAAAGCCTAATTGGAGAGCCCTTCAAGTAACAGGAAATTATATCAGTGTGGAAAGAACTCAGATGGGGGTGTTTCCAGAAACTATTCTAGCCCAGAAGAGGGGTCACTAAATACAGTGTGTGTGGTGGGGGGTCAGGGGAGCTTCTCAGAATTGTTGGCATCTCACCTACTCCAAAGAACTAGCTGGCTTTATCATTAGGCTTTGGAGATAAATGTCTAGGGATGGCTTCTTGTACTTTCTAAAATTGCTTAGCAGAAACATTTCTTTTGTCAAATCTGGGATGATTTCATTAAGACACAGCCCAAATGTATTAATATATAATCCTCTCTCCCAGGGTAGTCCCATTCAATCCTACCACCTCTGCAAAGCTTTTGGCACTATATATAATGGAACTGATGTCTCTCTGCTTGGGAATTATTTGAAATCTGATAATGAAATTTTCTTATGTTCATGGTGCGTTACCCACAGTTAGATTGGTCAAGGATCACGTCACTTACTGCTCTGCCTCTGTTCCTAGGAGGGTAGTGTGGGCCTTGCCCATAGAGCCTATCGTGTAAATGTTTGCTGTTGCTGTGGTGGAATCAGACAGGCTTGACTGGATCTGGGCTCTGTCCTTCACCACGTGACTTTGGAAAAATTACCTAATCACTTTGAGGCTCAGTTTCTTCATCTAAACAATGGTGATAATAATAGGGCTTATCTCATGGAATTGTTGGCACAATTAAGTGACATATTGGGCTATGGGCTTAGCATAAGAGCTAAACTTTAGCAAGTGCTAAATGTAGGTTTTGTTGAAAGATTTAAAGTAAATATATGCCCTCACTAGACTCCATCTGTCATTCCACAATTCCTCCTATAGACCATTTACTGAGTCCTATTTGCTGGAGAAGTGAAGGAAACCTGATGGGCTTTAAAGAATTTTCTTTTTTTTAACTCTTGTTCACTTAGGCTGCAGTAACAAAATGTTGTAGACTAAGTGTCTTAAACAGCAGAAATTTATTTCTTACAGTTCTAGAAATTGGAAGTCCAAGATCAAGGTGTGGGCAGATTTGGTGTCTGGGGAGGGTCCTCTTTGTTTGTTGTCTTCTTGCCATGAATGCAAAGACAGAGAGAGAGAGCAAGAGAGTGTGCACAAGTGCTCTGGTGTCTCTTCCTCTTCTTATAAGGACACTAATCCCATCACGGGGGCGCCGCCCTAAAATCTCATCTAAGGCTAATCACCATCAAAGGCCCCCACCTCAAAATACCGTCACATTGGGGATTAGGGCTTCAACACATGCATTGGGGCAGGACATAAACATTCCACCCTAGCAAACTTTCTTAACACTGCTGGGTAAAAGGTAGAAGAGGGGGGAGGGTAAAGAAGGAGAAGTGAGAAGAGAGAGACAGCACTAAGGGAAGCAGAGAAATTACTACTCCTTTCTACCAGTTTCTCATCGGTGACAGCCTCCTGCCAGCTTCTAACCTTAGACATCTGAGGGTCCAGAGGAGAGGGGAACCTCTGCAGGACCAAGGCTGCAGCTGGAGCGCAGAGTCCTGCTTTAATGAAAGGGCTGCACACTCACTGTGTGGTCTCTGACAGCCAGGGTGAGCTGAAGCCTCCATGAGGGGACCAGCACCCAGGGCAGGGCAGCGGGGCACCAAGGGCTCTGCGAGGGCTCTGGGTGAGGAAGCCATCTGCCCTACCAGTAGCCCTGGCACACCAGCTCAAAAGGGAGCAGACCTACCCCAACCAGGCAAGACAGGAGGGGCTGAGAGAAGGGGACGGAACCTAGTCTGTGTTGACCAGGTTCTTGTACTCAGCCCAATCTGTAACGCCTCTTCCAGAAAACACCAGCCCACATGGGCTCAAGAGTGGCTGGCTGCCTGGCTTGTATGGAGACATTCTAATGTGGATAGTGGTTTGAAAACATTCCCATGAGCTTCAAAAAAGGGATGAGAGACTGATAGGGGAATGGGATAGTGCAGAGCGTTAGACCTCATTGATAAAATCTCTGGGCTTTTCTTAGGGAATTCATACTTCTCCATGCAAAGTAAGTGGAGAGGGAAAATAGAAATTGATTCTACCACAGATGAGGGGTTAACCATCTCTCCATTTGTAAACCCTCACAGGGCTTGCCTGCAAAGTTTACTTAATCTTGGATTATTTTTCAAACATGTTATGTCAAAGTATTATTATTTTGAAATAAAACTAACAGAAATAGAATTTGAATATATTTACACCTATGATGATGTTTCATGTCTTCTGTCAACATTGCTTAATGTGTTCTGACTTCACATGGACAGTGACTGAGGACCAGGAAGGATTACACAGCAAATCATGTGACCAGCTCTGTCACCTAAAGAACACTGGGGGAGACGGGAAAATGAGGTTTTAGTTGTCCCAATTCAGGGTCTGAAGCAGGACCTCAGGATGGAGCATTATTCTAGATGCTTCCAAGAATGAGACTGAAATTAATCAGCGGGAATTACAAGGAAGCAGGTTTTGGCTCAGTGCTGGAGAGAACTTCCCAACAGAACAAGATGCCCTGTGAGCTGGTGCGTGCCCCTCCCCCACCGGAAGTATTTGAGTGGAGACTGGATGGCCATCACCAGGTTAGGAAGGAGACCTGAGGTTTATCTCCCACTTCCATGTTCTGCCCCTGCCAGGATTCCAGTTGCAGAGGGGGGATAGGCTGGAAGGGTGTGCCGATGGCCCAGCCTCCTTGTTCATTCACTCCCCTGATCATCTTTCCTTAGCTCCCCTGGTCATTCTGAGCTCTCTGAACCTTTTTAGAGTTGACCACCACTTGGGCTAAGCATTTGGTTCCCTATGTGTGGTATAGCCCTTGATTCCATTTTAGTTTTAAATAGATCTCTTTGAGGTTAGAATGTGTTCCCCAGTTATAATATTCTGGGATTTTGTGAATGATTTTGTGGGTATTCTTTCCAATTTTCTGCATAATTCTATAGCCTAGGCTAGGTTTTGTCTTCCAAACCATGATCCTCAGATATCAAATCTTTTTCATACTGAAACCTATTAGTCACCTTGATAATTCTACTGTCCTTCTTTGGATTCTTTCCAGCTCTTTTTATACCTTCTGGAAATGGGGTGCCCTGAAACTCCTGCAGGCTTTCCAGTTTATATATACTCTGGTTTTATGCATGTTTACTCTGCAAGAGACAGAGTGCATGATTTTAGGGCACAGAAAATCCTGGATCTTCTACGGACTGGATGGGCTGTGTGACTTTGGGGAAATTATTGAACCAGCCACTTTGAGCATCAATTTCCACATTTTCAAAATGGAGAGACGAATATGTACCTCAGTCATTCATGATGATAAACAATTTGGCATTTAAAAGCCTAGTATACTGCCTTGCATACAGTAGGTACTGAATAATTTAGAGGAGAAAGAGAAGAAAAAGTTCTCATTCTTGATTATATATTTTTAGTAGTGAAAACATAATTTAATTAAATAATTATAATAATTATAATTATTTTAAAGAAGTAATTATTTTAAAGAAGTACTTTTTGATCCTCTGTTAGATTCAAATTTGAGTTATATCAGTCATATGAATTTAAAATGATCTTCTATTTCAGACATGTATATATGAACATTGCACTCATATGTTATTAAACATAAACCTACAGCCTTGCATCTTTACAAACACATGTAGGCAATGTATGAGACACATAGAGAATTAGGCCACTATTTTCTGTTTAATGTTTAGACAGTGTTGACACCTCCCAGAAGCAAGAGCTGCAGCGGGAGAAGTGGGAGAGGAACAACTTGCCAAGCAGAAGCCTCTCTCGGCGTTCCATCAGCAAGGAGCGATGGGTGGAGACGCTGGTGGTGGCTGACACGAAGATGATCGAGTATCATGGGAGTGAGAACGTGGAGTCCTATATCCTCACCATCATGAACATGGTATTCTAGACTGCCTGGGGCAGGGCTGGCTGGTGAAAGACATCATTGGAAATGCCTCCCCAGCCAAAAAATAAATAAATTTTTTGTCCTTTTAACTTATTTTTATTCATATATATTTACATATGTATGTATAACATATATATTTATATATGTGCATATATATATGTATATATGAGTCTATTCCCTGCTTAAGGATGAATAAGGATCAAAATTAAGCACAAATTTGTCTTTCCCTTAAAAATGTGTGTCCTGTGAAAAATCTGTAGTTTATTATTTACATATTTCTACTAGGTATTTGCCAAGGAACTCAGTCCTTTTAGGATGACTTTGTCTCATTGGTTTATAGTAGTAAACAAATGAGAAAACTGAGTCAAAGAATTAGAATATAATTTCCTCAAACTAGTTAGAGCTACTTAGAGCTAGAATTGGAGTAAAGTTCATGCTCCTAATTTCAAGCTTTTCCTTTGCATTATTGATGTTTTCTGCCTTCCCCAAGAGAGTGTTAGTCCTGTTGAGATGGGGAAAGGTACTTGCCTGAGTAACTGACAATAAAACCAGGGAATACCGAGGGCTCGGGAAAGAGTCAAAGAAAAGAAAGGCATTAATCCCTCAAGAGCACGGCCAATCAATCACCCTGAAAGACTATCTTTAAATATCTTCTTAACACATCACCAAAAATTTCTGACCTGTAAGATAAACTTATACATGCATTACAATGCTATTTTCCCCCTCTGGCATTTATTTATTATCTATTCATGTGGGACTAATGGTTTTTTTTTTGTTTGTTTGTTTTTTCTGAAACAGAGTCTCACTCTTTTGCCTGGGCTAGAGTGAGTGCCGTGGCATCAGCCTAGCTCACAGCAACCTCAAACTCCTGGGCTCAAGCGATCCTCTGCCTCAGCCTCCCGAGTAGCTGGGACTACAGGCATGTGCCACCATGCCCGGCTAATTTTTTCTATATATTTTTAGTTGTCCGATTAATTTCTTTCTATTTTTAGTAGAGACGGGGTCTCGCTCTTGCTCAGGCTGGTTTCAAACTCCTGAGCTCAAACAATCCACCCGCCTCGGCCTCCCAGAGAGCTAGGATTACAGGCGTGAGCCACCGCGCCCGGCCTGGGCTAATGGTTTTCTATTTTTGACTCTAGGTCACCGGGCTGTTCCATAACCCAAGCATTGGCAATGCAATTCACATTGTCGTGGTTCGGCTCATTCTACTCGAAGAAGAAGAGGTAAAAAAGTTTCCTCTCTACTCTTCTGCCCTGTGTCCTCATACTTCCTATCTCCTTTCTTCAGGAGACCTCTTGGTAGACAAAAAAGAGGTTATCAGAAAGGTGTTTAGAATATCATTGGAAAGGAAAATATTATTTCTATGTTATTTTCTTGGGACTTCAGTGATATTGAGTGGGAAATGGAGAACATTTCCACAGTTGGAATCACCTGACAGTCATTGCATCTAATAACAGACAAATCAGACTTACAGTCGTCACTAAGAATGTCCTGCAATGGAAACAGACTAAATCATGATATGGTTGGATGGTTTCTGTAAAAGTTAGGAGAGATATTGAAGTGTTGAACCTTTTATACTATTAATTTACCCTTTGAATATTAACCCAGGTTTCTCAGACTTGGGCCCTCTTGTCTGTCTGCACTTTCCCCTTGGGGTTTTCATCTATTCTCGAGCCTTACATAGCTACATGCTGAGATTCCCCATTGATACTTCAAGCCCAGACCTCTTCCTTGAGTTTCAGACCTATAGACAATTGTTTATCTGACATCTCAACCTGGATGTGTCATAGTCCATTCAGTCTTGAAAATTTAATAAGTCCAAAATGGAATTCCTGATTGCTTCCTGCCTAAGTAATTTCAATTCTGCCTCCTCCCATTCCCCAAACAACCTGTTTACCCATCTCAGTGAATAGTGCTACTAAACATCGGTTGCATAAGCCTAGGAGTCATTCTTGGTCCCTTTGTCATATCTTCCATATCCAGTGGCAAGGCCCACAGTGGTCCTACCTCCAAAATACATCTCCGAGCTGTCCACTGTTCATCCTCTCTGCAGTTGTCACATTGGTTGGCCTGATCGTTATCGCACTTAGGCTGCTGCAGGGAACTCCCAAATGGTTTTCCTATTTTCAGCCTTGGCCTCATAATCCATTCTCCATGGACAATCATTTTACATACAGCCATAATTGATCTTTTTAAATACAAACTGAGTTGCTGCACTGCACAAAACCCTTTAATGACTATCTGTTTCTTTTAGAACAAATTCAAAATTTCTAACTGTGGCCTGCACAGACTTTCCTGATCTTGCCTCCATCCACCTTTCCAGTTTTTCCTTATGTTTCTCTCTCCCTTGTTTCCTACTCTCACACTCACTGGACTTTGGACAGGTCCCAGAACACAACAAGGCAGTTTTCAGCCTCAGGGTCTGTGCACTTGTGGTTCCCAGTGCTTGGTTCCGCCCGTGACTGGCACCTTCTCATCCCTTGGGCCTCTGTTTAAATGCTGCCTCTTCAGAGAGGTCTCAGTGACCCATCTGCTCAAAGCCGGCCCTGCTACTGCTCGCCATCACAGAGTGACAGCACTCTCACAGTTTATTGTTATTCCATGCTGTCTATTCTTTTCTCGCTTATCTCAGCCTCTACCAGAATGTGAATTCCATGAGGGTAAAAGCCATGTTTCTTTATTCTGTTATATCCCTGGCACCTAAAACAGTGCCTGGGATGTGAATGAATAAATGAATGAATGCACGAAGTGAAATGTAATGAATGAAGGAACCAGCCAACCACGTGAAATGCCCTTGTGATCTATAGAGCTTAACCAGCAGCCGGGATATGCAGAGAAGGGCATCGTTCAGCTCTCTGTCAGCAAGACACCTGCAGTCAAAATGCCAAGGCAGAGTTTACTGGTTTCTTAACAGGAAAAGTCTCTACAATCAGTTAGAAGATTATTTTTAAAATGATCTCTGAAGCCTGGATCCATTTTCCTTCTCTGCCCTATCAGCCTCGTTTTCCTTCATTACTCAAGACATGCTCAGGCTATCCTGGAAGACTAATGGGTATGGTATTTCCCTGCCTGTGATCCTTTGGTAAAGAAAATTTATCCAAAACTTGGAAACCAGGCAAAATAAAAACTATGTATCCTTTCAGTGTTCAATATGACCTATCTGACTCTATGGGAACGTACCTTTAATTATTATTTTCTACTGATTAGAGCCCAGATGTGGTAAAATTACACGTTGACATGTAGAAAACTGATAGTTTACTAATGCTTTTTGCCTAGTAGAGATGAAAATTATTTGTGTCCAGCAGAAAAGATAATCCTGAAGGTTATGGTTTTATTGGTCTATGGAAGCAGAACAATAAAAATTGGTGTCTAATTTTGTATCTAATTTAGCAATGTCATTCCAGCAGTTTTTTCCCCCACTGTCTATAGTTGCATCTGTTTCTTGTATCTGCTTTTAGTCAGCTTTGCCATCTTGCCTGCCTCCTCATTAATGAGTTAAGTTCTCTTGCCTCTCTCCTTTCCTTGTATTTAACGCAAATACATCTTTAACATGATCTCACTATACATTTGTATGAGAATTATGTTTTTAACTTTTTAAGAATTATACTTTGATACCTTGGAGGAAATAATTGAGTTTTTCATAATGGTTGAGCACATGTTCGTGCTTAGATACAGATACGCAGAAACATTAAGGATTTTCAGACCAAAAAAGAAAAAAAGGAAGGTTCTTTGGGGTGTAAGGAGGAAAAGTCTTTACCCTCTGTAGTCCCAGCAGCACCACTGGTAGGACTTCAAAATGCAGTTTCCATGGATCAGGTACTTAGATCTCCATATCTCTTCATTGCCAGGAAACAATGCCCCCAGGGCATCTCCATGGCATCTTGCTGCCAGTGAAGTTGTTAGGAAGAGTTTGATCACCCACTGCTCCCCTGACTCCAACACAATTACATTGTTTTTCTTCTTCCAGATCTGTTTTTGCAAGTGCAAAGAGACACAAATAATTTGCTTCAGAAAGCCATGGCTCTCTACCTCCTATTTACCAAACATTATCCTCATTCAAGCTTTTGTTGACTCTCTAATTGGAACAAGGTTTGCAAGTTAGCAACAGAATTGCAATTCTCAATTCTCATTTTCCTGGTTCCCAGAAAATGGCTTAAGCCATTCTTAGGGTCTTTGACTAAGGAGCTGCTCCAACAACAGCAGACAGCGATGATTGCAGCCCTTAGGTAACATCACGGTGGCAGACACAGGAAGCAGAGTGTAAGGTACGGCATGTGACTGCTTAGAGCAAGTGGACCCGAGTTCAGCAACTCAGTAAGTCCCATCATCTATCCATGCCCATTTTTCTTCATCCATAAAAAATGAGCAGAGACTTGTGGCGCATCAGCCACAGGTCAAACCCTGTGCTGGCCACGAAGGATGCAAATATGAAGACAAGTCCCATTTTCTGGTTCTGAGGAGCTTAGAGTCTACCGCACAAAAGCACGAAAACAGAAAATTTCAAATTGAAATCGACATGAGTATAAAAATACTGGAAGAGGGAAGGGTGTCTAAGTTGGGTTTTAGAGAATGAGAAAGAATTACCCAGTAAGGAAGGACTTCCAGGTAGAGCGACCTGCTTGGGCTGTGGCTTTAGTCTTAAACCAGCGCCATGCATATCAGGGGCAGTGGACACATCACTGATGTTGGACCACAAAATGGGAGGCTGAGAGATCTTGTCGTCACAGAAAGGAAACAGCATGATTGTGCTGGAGGCAGGAGAGAAAGTAGCTGATCAAAAACTGCCCGCCTCCACTCACACCTGGGCTTGTCCCAGTGTTGCCTGTCTCTGTGCAGGACATTGTCATCCTTCTGGCTGTAGAAGCCAGAAATCTGGGAGGCACCCGTGACACCTCTTTCTTCTCCTCCCAAAATCAAATCCATCATCAGATACTGACAGTTTTATCTGAACATCTCCATTTTTGTCACTTCAATTCAAGCCACAGTTACCTCTTTTCTGGTTTTCTACTCAAAACCAGTTGGATTCCTTCCAAACTTGTTTCCTTATTGCAATCAGGGTGGCCTCAAAATGGTAATCTGATCATATCCACCCTCCACCCCTGGGGTGGGTGCCACCCCTTCTCCACCCCCCAACCCCCGGCTCAAAGCAGTCCACTCGTTTTCTCATGCCCTCTCTCCTTTCCTGCCATGCCCCCTCGCTCTCAGGATGTAGCAATAGTCTTCTATTCATCACGCTTTTTGAAGCCCTGCCACTGGTCTCATTGTCGGCTGGACTGTCTTCCTGCTTGTCTTCACTTAGGTAACGTCTTAATCACCCAGATTGCAGCTCCAGTGTCACTTCCTTGGAGAAGACTTCCCTGACCTCCACACCGAGGAAGACTCTATTGTCCATTCCCTAACTCTGTGCATTTCTCCATCCCAGCACATTCCACACGTGTAATTCTACATCTGTTTGATTGATGCAATTTCCTCCATTAGTATGGAAGATTTAAGAGCAGAGGTAGAGTCTGAGGTTGCTCACCATTTAGCTCTACTGGTACATAATAGACCCTCAATAAATATTTGCTCAAATTCTAAGAGTAAGAATGTGAATGAAGCTGGCAGTCAGTCAGTGACGGTGACTGTCAACAGCAGGCAAGTTCTCATGGGCTTCGTAGTCACATGAAGGAGTTTGGAACTAATTCCGTGGAAGACTCTGCATGATTCCAAACCAGCAAGTAAAGTTAGGGAGATCTCTCAGGCTCCGCGGAAGATGTGGATGGTGGGGAGCGCTGCTACAGGGTTGCTGAAGTGGGTCCCTTTGATCAGTGACTGTCTAAGACCTTCGTCTTTCTTACGCTGAACACATCTGACAGCTAACACCATTTTGGTCTTTATTTTTCTGTGGCGGGTTCAAGAGACTCTGAGGTTAAGCTACATGCATAAAATGCAGCTTCATCACGTAACAAGTACTATGGAGTTCTATCACATTTTGAGAATAAATTGGGGTATAGGATGTGAAACTCATGTTGGAGCACCCCAGAGCCTTTCTTAAAGGAGAGGCAGTCACATTTCAGAGCAGTGGAATCTGAGGTATGCAGCCCCATGATCTGGGAAGATGTGTCAAACATATTAAGACACTATGGGCCAAGGAGACAAAGTGGGTTTACACATGAGCCACCTGGCTCTCACTGCTGTCCTGCCTCTGTCTAGCCCTGAATTGAACTCTCATTTTTATTTTACA